CGTAGAAGGGAAACAATAAAATAATAAAAATATAAAACAATGAAATTCTCACGACGTTTCGACTGCAACACAAGCAATCATCATCAGGTGTGAAAAACCACAGCAAGAAAATTTGAAAAAAGGAGAGGGATTTGACAGTTTGTTCAGATGGACGAGCCCATCTATGTTCAGCAAAGAGGAGGGGGGAGACGAAAATAATGGATGCGGTCTGAAAGCCACCGTAAGCGTGAACAATCAATTAAGACCCGAAATGGTTTATCAAGTCCTTCCAATGATTGCTAAGCCAGAATCCATCTTCTCAGTTGAAATTGTCTCTGTGTCGTTTGGTTTCTCCAATGTAACTACTACCACAGAGGCAACTTAGTTTGTAGACGCCAGGGTACTGTATGTCCGGAATCACATCTTTTACAGACAGAACCAGATCACGGATTTCATGTAATGTGTTGAAACGGACCTGGATCTTGTGTTTTATTTCAAGATTTTGGAGATATTTTTTGTGATCCCCGCAATGTAGGGTAAAGTGATGGTTTTGAAAGGCTCCTCAAGAGGGTCCTTCTTCATGGTTAAATAGTAAATTCCCTGGCGCACAAGCCGGCTCGGGGAGATTATATTTCGACTGATCACAGAATAATTTCAAATTAAGTTACAGAAACCTTAAAGAGATAGAGCACGACAAATTGTGCAAATAATTAAAATAAAACATTACATTTTTTATTTTAACGGGAGAGTACTCCAAAAGCATTTTTAAAGATATAGAATTTATTTTGATTGGGGCATTAGCAAAGAAGGGGGTAAGAATCATATGATGTTTTTTTTTTCATTGGTACGATCCACTCAGGGCGCATACTGTGCCAAGCATTAATAGGTGCTCGCTAACAGCCCTTGTGGTGGGAAACCATATTTAATGTTAGTCTAATTGCGCAAACTACATGTAATTATTCATCTTCAGTTTCAACAAGTCAGCGGGGTTCCTCGTAATCATACTTTACAAAGCATTGGTGGATTTGTGACCTCTCTTTCTGAAAGCATTTTGTAAAATATAAAAATAATGACGGCTGTAACCCGAACAACCTCAAAAAATAAAAAAATAAGTGACCTGTCACCATTGTATCTGCGATTATTATGAAATGTGTGTCACGTTTATGAGTTTCTTATAAGTGCTCATTAAAAAAAATGAGTGTTTGTTTTATTTTAAAAGGTCATCTTTCTGATAAAAAGGGAGCCTAACTAGGCTTTTAGTACCGTGTATATCCCCGAGATCAAACTGCCACCACAACCCCATAAGAGGCCAGTCTGTTTGCCTTGAATCGTCCCATTAGAAAACAGGCCTGTTGGTCTATTGCCTCGACGCACTTCAACACCGGTAACACAATTGCTTGTATGAATGTGTTGGTCGTAGACATCATAAATGGGCAGGCAAAAGGGAGTCAGACCATCGTGGGTGCTGGCCACAGTGCCCAACTCTGTGAACCAGCCTCACGAGGTGCTCGCTTACGGGCACACTTATTTAGCGTTCTAGAATACTGGCGCTTGTGACATTTTATGTCGACGAGAAATAAAAAAAAACAACTCAAAAGTGATTTCCTGCTCAAATGAGCGTTAAAGCATTGGTGCTCATCTCCCGTTTACATACCTAAGCCAGTGGTGGGAATTCGACGTTCCTATGGCAGGGACGAGGCGTTACATAGGACAACCAATTAGGTACTGATGTTGTCTACCACAGAGGGATGATGGGCCGAGTAAACTACCCACCAGAATTTGAACTTGTAAACAACCCTCACAACCAGCGCAGTATGGAGATTTACACATGGTTGTATACAATTATTATTATCAATCTTTGTTCTTTCCACACACTCCACCACAGTGCCCGCTGGTAATGTCACAGCCCCACTAGAGACCTCACACCTTCAGCCACAAGGTTCGAGCCCCATTACCCCTGGCGACAATCACAACATGTCATGCATGATGGGGACCCGATTCGTGCTAGTCTCGGAAGCACAAATCGCAGAGGGCAATGAGAAGTCCAGGAATGTAATAGCGGTGGGTGGTGGGGGGTGACGTGGTGGTTAGCTCACTACGAACACAGCGACCCGAGTTTGATTTCGAGTCACGGCTAAAATTAGTGGTCTGTGATATCTAAACCAACTTTCCCCATCACCACCTACCCACACGAACCAGCAAGGTGAAGTATGGTCGAACATCCACCGTGATGCCTTCATCCAGCAGTGCAGTGACACAGGGCTGTGCATCATTCATGAACAGTACTGTAATGGTAGCAGTGTCCTGTAGCTGGTACGTTAATGTCAGTTTTTAACATTCCTTCCTAAGCTTGAAAGCGTTTTTTCGTGAGCGCTGTCTGTCCATAATGGATGGGGGCATTATCCAATTTTATCACAACTTCAGTATGACATTGTGTTGCTATTGGGCACGCATCCTGTAGAATAATGGGCGAATTGATCAAAGGGGTTGCTCAAAAGCTGGAGACACAAAGCTGGCAGAGCCACTATCAGATCGTCATTTTCCCCATCATCACCTACGGATGAACTGCTCCCTGTGCCCCTGCCACGAGCACGACCCGATTTCACTGCTGGAGAGTAATTCCAATGACGAATGCACTTTGGAAAGTAGGAAAACAGTATACATTAATATCTATAATTTGTCTTCCTCTGTTTACGTTTAAAAGCTAGATTAAAATCTCTCCATGTCACGGATTGGCGCATTGTATTTGTTGCTTATATAATTCCGCCAATTGGCTTTGCGCTGCATCAATCTCCAAGCAGTATTTTGATAGCAAGCAAAGCCAAAAAAAAAAACATTGCCTGTGGTATACTCGCGCGCAAACAGCAGTATTAGGAGAATACATTGGCAGAGCGCTCGTCTGTCGGAGAACGGAATAACCGATGTGTTTTTTTGCCAATGAAAATGACAGCAGGACGCAGGCCCACTCTCGCCAAAACCCGGGCGTCATCACATCGTGGGTCTCTCCGGTGTTGACGGACCCACCGGACACTTGACACGGCGAGGATCGGGAGGGCCATCTCAGATGCCACGCACAATGAGCGACCCATTAACAGGTCGGGTACACTCTCACTCTCACACACACACCAGTAACACCTGTACCAGTAACACACCAGTAACACCTGTACACCGGTGCGCATGTATGTGCATGCGCGCATGCACACCACGCTTGCAAGGGATTCGCACACCCAGAATGCGCTGCCAAGATCTGCTTGAGCACGCTTCCATGCGCTCGCTCAAACACGACGATCCCCCATGCGGCCCTGGACTGTCAGGGCGAGTGCCGTGAGCCGGCAACCACGCGCGGCTGCCTTTGTCTCCCTCGTGGCGATATGTAAACATTGCACCAGATACTCATTTCAAGCCGAGTTGACGTAGGGGAGTCCCAGGACCGGTGCAGAGAATCGCCACTGGTGTCTGTCGTGAGTGGGAATTGAACTGCTGTCACCAGGTTTGTAGCGCGGTGGGCTAACCGCTGCACCACCGCTCTCTCTCTCTCTCTCTCACACACACACACAACTGCACTCACACACCAAATAAAATATTATTCCTTCAAAGCTTTATTCCTTCAAAGCTTCCCAGCCCTTCTATCCGTTTGATGCATGAACCAATGCATACATATGCATGCGTTACAGCATATTGTTAAATAGTTAATTACATTGCACTGTGTTTGTAACATACATTAGGTACAAATATACATGTCTTCATGTAACGTGTTTATACGATGCACAAATAACCGACATGTCCGTATGCATTATGTGGTATAACACGTCCCATGCTGTACGTACATGCATATGAATGCGCATGTGTTCTAACACGTGTGGCTATACATGTGTGGAGCAGTGGAGCAGTGGTTAGCGCACCACGCCACCAATCTAGCCACCACCAGAGTGAAATTCCCACTCGGAACCCAAATGAGTGGTGAATATTTGAACCGGTCCTGGCCTGGTCCTCCCCTAGGTAGACTCGGCCTATGTAAACATCACAAACTCGGGAGACAAAGGCGGCCGGGCATGGTGCTGACAACCCCCCCCCCCCCCCCCTCGTGTGTCCACGCTGGCTTCATTAGGTTCTCGCTAACAGCACTTGCCCCAAAAGTATGTTAAGGCTATCCGAGGCATCTTTGCCTTTGGGCATATGTACATGCATGCGTGTGCATACGTGCGCCGTACCAAATAACACGCATTGTTCATACCACGCATATAATGCATCAACACGTGCGTGCATGTACATTGCGTGCCTATAAATTATGTACACCACTCAGGCTAACGAGCGTGACCGAAGCTGGCCCTGGTGAGATTAAGAGCAGCGTGAGACCAGCTGTAGACACCGCAGCGTCCGTTAATCGGCACTGCGTCTCACGCCCGTGAGATGCGCGAGTGTCACTCCTCAGGCATCACACACGCACATCACCACGACTGTTATCGTCAACGTGGCTGCATCTGTCCGTGATCCACCTCCCCCGAGTCCCCATATCACTGGATCGCAAACTTAAACCCCTGACTTGTTTCGCCTACCTCCATTAGCGACCTACTTCATGTACTGTCTACAACAACAACAAGAACAGCAAAAACACTTCATTTGCGCTTCGGGTTTCACCCACTTTTCAATCACCATCATCATCATCATGGTAGCTCCGCCTCTTCGTGTTCCAAGTCAGCGGACTGACTGCGAGCGTGCGCCTTCGAGACCACACAAGGTGTCATCGTGCTGTATCATAATCTTGCATTAAAGCATCTCCCCCCTGTCCCACGCAATCGCTCTTAAAATGTCCTTCACGTGAATCAAAGCTGTCACTACATTCAACAGTAGAACCTTACAATCGAACAAAACACACAAAGACAAACACCACAACGACGTTCCGGGCAACGACCCTTTCTGTGCGCCTCCGCCAACCCCCCCCCCCCCCCCCCCCCCGACTCCCCGCGGCCCCCAACCTTTCAATTCAAAGCATCGACTTCCCGCAGCAAACAAAAGGATACGGATTACAAACCATCCTGAGACACCAGCTCCTGGGCATCGTGCTCTGCTTCATGACGAAGAAGGCGACGGGCGCGAGCGCGGGGTAAGGTAGCTCCGGGTCTTCCGTTCCTTCTTCCCCAACATCTCCCGTTCCACCACCACCGCCATCACCGCCACCACCGCCGCCACCACCACCGGCCGCCCGGTCGTGCCGCCTCTCCGCCCCGGGCAACGCTCCTGCCCCGGGCAGCGGCCCAGCGGCGGGGAAACTTTCGCCGGCGTCCGAGGTCACCTCCGGGTGGTGGACACAACGCGGCATGTAGATCACGGTGCTGCTGCCCACGACGCTGCTGCTGCTGCTGCCGGCAGCGTTCACGCTGCTGCTCGTCTTGCCGACGGCGCTGGTGGTGGCCGTAGAGCTGGTTGTGGTTGTGGCAGTGGCGGTGGTGGTAGTGGTGGTGGGACGGGATCCACGGCCGCACAGGCGGCTGCCGTGGTCCCTGGGCGCGCCAGCTTCGGGTAATCGCTCCGCCATGGCAAGGAACGCCGTGATGACACCTGGGTGGCAACGGAGGAGACAGATGCCACTGACACACACGTACACACCTGTGTAGACTTGTGTGTCACACACGTGTGTGTGTGGATGCAGGGGAGAGGTGGTGTAGTGGTTAGCACGCCGCGCTCCGAACCCGGCGACACAAGTTCGAACGGTCACGGCCAACGCCGGTGACGATTATCTGAACCGGTGCTGGGCCTCCCCCTAGGTCGACTCAGCCTCAAATGAGTACCTTGTGCGGTGTGTGAAATTTGCCACTGGGGATGGGTGGCCGGGCGTGGCGCAGACCCCCCACCCCCTTATGTGTCGTGGCGGCCTTCATAGGTGTTCGTTAACAACACTTTCCCCAAAGGTGTGTTGAGGCTATACGGGGGATATTTGTATTCGTGGATGCAGTGCCGGATTCATGAAGGGGGCCTTAGGGGCAGCAGTCCGAGGCCTTGGATTTTTATACCCCCCCCCCTATAGATAATTTTTACATTAAAAAATAAGATATATCTATAGCATCGCTGTGTGCATTTACGACTAGTTCTGTGCCGGAATTTACATACTGTAGTTTTATCGGTGTACCGTGGATTTATCTTTAAAAAAATGTTCCATGGCATTTAAAATCGAGAACTGAAAAAAACCCAAAGACGAATGATTTAATTGAGCGTTTGACATCGGAGATGGGTGCTGGTGGTGGTGATCAAAGTCAAGGGATGGAATTGAATAGATAAAGGAGGACTTTTGCCCACCATCCCCCCCCCAAAAAAAAAGCCATCAGCCCCGGGCCCCCCTCAAACTTACTGGGGCCACGCCTGTATAGCACAACAACCGCAGCGAGACCGCTAGCTCCGAGTTCCACGGCACACACCAGTGGCAAATATCTGAGCCCGACCTTTGCCTCGTCCAAGTTGACTCTACTTCAGAAAGAAATTACCCAGGAGGTGCAGTGGGTAAATCACCACAATATTAACACCGGGGAGACAAAGGCGGTCGGGCCCAGTGGTGGCGAGACCACCGCCCCGTGCGCCTTTTATGGTCTTCGTAGCTGCTCGCGAACGGCACTTGCCCCCTTATTCTACGAGGCCTATACGGGGGACCTTTATTTTGTGCTAATCTATCTTACGTGTGTGCAACATCTCAATGTATGTGTGGACATACACTAAGCATCTGTGCGTACTGTAATATATATATCTATTTTGAGGATTATACAGCATATGCATGTAGAACTTCTTTCGCCGCCGCACGCGGCCAACCGTGCCAAATCAGGAGCCACCGTCGTCTCCACCGCTGGATGAGGACCTCCTCAAGCCTTCGCCCTCTCCCACGATCGCACGAAGCGACGATCCGTCTCGCGTGTGGCACGAGGCCACGGGCCCCTTGACAGTCGACAAATTAACACGTGGCGGGAAGACGCCGCGCAGCACGTGCGCGTCCACACGGTCGCACGCGACGCCTTGCACAGTTTCTTGCGCGCGGTTGTTACAAACCTCATCGCTGTCTGAACCCGGACCGCTCCGTCCCCGAGGTCGACTCCGCCTTACAATTCAGTGACCGATTGGAGTCGCGCGGAGAACAGCACGAGGCGATGTCAAGGCGGAGTGGGCATGATGTTGCTGAATTGCGTTTTTTAAAAAATATATATAAAGTTGCCCGGTGCGTGCGTCTGTACCGTGTGTAAGACTGCACGTGGAACCCCTTTCAAGATTTTGAAGGATTTCCCCAGGTTTCTCTTTCAAAAGAGACACGTTATCTCTTATTTAAATAAACGATAGGTATCTCCGTGCGCGTGTTAACACATTCAGCCTGATAGCCCGTGGTAAGGGGTTGGCTGGGGGGTGCTTTGTTCATGCATGTGTGTGCGTGAACGCGTGTGCGCGTGTGTGTGGGCGTGGGGAGCGGTGGCACATTGGTTAGCACACTGCCAGAGATGCCGACGACCCAAGATCGAATCCCGGTCACGGCTGACATCAACGGCGGAGTGATATCCGACCCGACCCTGCCTTCCCCTCCCCTGGGTCTACTCAGCCTCAAAGGCGTGCCTGGGGCGCTGCGTAAACATCGGCGCTGCGGAGTCAAGGATGGCCGGAAGCAGCAACTTTCACAAACAGGGTTCCGCTTGTTTATCGCTCTCATGAAATTAACAGCGCGGCGAATACATCGTGCGCTGGTGTCATGGCCAGCCAGTGTGGTCATGCAAGGACACTCCCGTAGCTGTTACTATACCTAGTAACAACGGATAGCGATGTCTATCGGCTTCACCGGACACCGGTGAAATGCTGGACATCTGTGAAAATAGCTTCGTAGCTCATTGGATTTCCCCCAGAATTGATATCCTGACTTGTCGCCACATTTCATGGGGGGGGGGGGAGGTTGGGAATTACTGCCTGGGCTCACAGATGGCGAGCATCGCGTGCCTGTGTCGTGAGTGTTCAACAAGAGACGTCAAGCAAACGCAGAACTTTGAGCTCGCCCTTCTCAGAGGGCCCCAAAAAAAACAACAATCGACCTCCGGGGATCGTCATTTTTTGGGAGATTCAGATACAACACTTGCAAGGTGCCGGGCTTCTCTAGTTGTAAGCAAAAAACTGTGGACTACGTTAGCGACTCGACGGTCACCGCCACATCCATGGTTGTAGATGCTTTATGTTTTATCTACCCGAGAACACCATTAGAATACCACAGCACTGGGGCACGTGCCTTTGCTACATGTTAGGTGTATCCATAATACAGGTTCTTTGGGGGTTAGATGGCGTAAATATGTGTCGTTAAAACCCGCCACCACCCGACGCCGACTAGTAAGGGTTGTCACGTAAACAGAGCATGCCAATTCGTCACTAGTGCAGCACACCGGTGTGTTGGAGAGCCAAGCCACAACATTTAGGTGTATATTGGCGCGGTGGTTAGAGCGTTCGACTCACTAAATTGAGCATGTTTACGAGTTCAAATCCAAGTCAGCTGTCGACTCGGCTTGGGTGCGCGCCCCGATCTCGGCAGTTCTAGGAAAACAAGGATGGCCGAGCCTTGTTGATTAATTGGACAAGAGACTGCCATTGAATAACAGGTGCCGTAGGTTCTAGATTTAAAGCTTTCGTGACTGCAAGGATCCATACTGTTTGGTTCTACAAACACAGACACAATTTCAACCGAGAGGATGGTTTCAAATTAAGCAACCATTGGAAAGATGTTCTGAATCAAACCAAACATTAAACTAATTTTCAATGGTACAGTATATTTTTTCAAGTAGTGGTATCCCAAACTTTCGCAGCTGCTTAAATTCCCTTTTCACACCATCAATAGGTAAACTCCCCCCTACCCTCCCCCCCTCGCTGGTCTGCACATGCTCCCCTCCTGTACATCGTTCATCATGCTAAGTCCGCCAATTAAATGCAAATTTTTATGCTAATTCCTTTGTCAAGGCGCTCTGCTTCCTCTCACACAGCTTAAAGGTCGCAGTCTGAGCTTGGCTGTGTTCACTCCAGCGCTGTCCTCTAGACAGTCTGGTCCCTTCACCTGATGAAGGCCACTTGTGTTGTGGCCGAAACGTCGTGAATTTTTGTTGTTGTTGTTTTTACGTGACTTTACCGAATAGAACCAAACAGTATAAGGTGCCGTAGGCTTGAGCTGCTAGGCTACCAGGAGATGGCAGCGCAGCGATGGATTTGCGAATAACAGTACCGTGGTGTATATCTACCGCTATAATTGAGTGTTACCTGTGGATTTTTCTCTTGGAAATAAAACAATCACCTGCGAGATAAAAAAAAAATCATGATGCAGGACATTACAGGTCTTGAGACTCGGTGATGGTTCTGTGCGCAATTAAAAAAAGCACTTTAACTGCTATACTCCTCGACAGTCGACGCGTTCTGTACAACTTCGTGTAAACTCAACACGAGTCTTCCAATATGAAGATTGACACCCCGCCATCGTAGTGTGCAATTCCCACCAGCAGTTCGGGCCCACAAATATATTAACACAGTCCCATTGCTGGATTCATCCGATAGGACACTGAAATATAATGCAATTCTAGTCTCAGCCGACTGAGATATCATCACATTTAACCCTCTATTTAAGGATCGAAACAGGAGGACTTCTCCACAAATCTGGCTGCCGCCTGATGAAGCTAGCTTTAATTACTGGCGAAACGTCGTACTCAGATTGTAAATGTTGTGGCTTGGCTCTCCAACACACCGGTGTTGCTGTACTAGTAACGAATTGGCATGTCATGTTTATGTGACAAACCTTACTAATTGGCTGTGTCAGGTGGTGGCGGGTTTTACGACACACTCATATATTTACGCGATCTAACCCACAAAACCTGTATTATAGATGACATTGGTTGAGAAAGCCTACGTGTTAAACCGACTGAGATAGTCCTGCAGTGGCGTCAAACTGCCGCACGTTAACATTTGACGCAACGCATGCCAAACTCCGGTTCAAGCGCGCCGGGTGGGTTGCTTTGTGCCGTGGACATTTAGCCACAATATTTCAGTTCATAGAATCGCATTTCGTGCCGTACACTGCAGTGGACCACGGTAATTGCATTGCGCTCATAATTTTAGTTACAAACAAACCAATGCAATCGAGAATGTTTTTTTTTATTATTAAGTGTGGCTCTGTGTATGTCCAAGAGTGTTTGTACAGGCGCGTACGTGTACAAGACTGCGTGTGACTCAGCCTTAAATGAGAAGTCGATGGTGCGGTGTATAAACATCAGCACTGGGGAGACAAAGGCGGCTAGGCGTGGCGATGGCAACCCACCCCCTGGTGTGCTGTGCCGGCCTTCATTAGGTGCTCGCTAACAGCACTTGCCCCAACACTCTGTTAACAGCTACACGAGGCAGCTTGGTGTCTGTCGGGTGGAGCGATTTCCTGGCAACGGATAACATTGGTGGCGAGTGATAAATGAATGTATCCTGTGCCACCCCTAGGTCGATTCAGCAATAAACGAGTACTTGACGCTGTGCTGTGGTCAATAGCAGCAGTGGTAAGATCTAATGATGTGAGTCTAAGCACACCGCCTCCTGAACGTGTATGCCAGACTGCTCGCTAGCTCCGAATGAAGAAAGTCCGCTATAGCTTTCAATGTTTCGAAATCAAAAGCAAATCGAGGTGAACCGTGCGAAGCATGCCTTGCGTAATATGCGTTTTTGACGCATGTATGTATGCATCGAGCTCGACCTGAGAGTTCGACGCCAACTCCAGTTGCCCGGAGACTCATCCGATTTGTTAAGACACCCGTTGCATGCAATAGATCAGGGGTCGGTCAGCTGCGGCTCCGTGACGTTATTTATTAGCGACCGTCTCGTATTAACATTGCATTGCGCCTCCCGAACGATTGAGTTTGTTTCTGAATTCTAAAAAACAATGGCTCTTCTTGCTATTTTGGTTTGATCCTGGAATAGACCAATTGAGAGCTTCTTGTTCTTCGTCGTGTAGAGCCAGGTGGCTCTGCGATGCAGAAAAATCGAATTGTCACTGCCTCTCATCATCCTTCCGGGGTCGATAAAATGAATACCACTTTGCGGGTAGGTTGTTCTATGGGTAAACTCGCCCCGCCATGGAAATGTGTAATGTCCACCACTGTGGCTCAGGGCTATGACCACAACCGTCAAAGGTAATTTGAACAAGACATCGCTTTGTGACTTTAGTTTAATATGATATATACTATTTCATACATTTATATTAGAGTATATAACATAATTGTGTATGGCTCTCGAAACGATTGACTGAGAAATGCACCCTCCCTCGCCCTCCCCCCTCTCCCGGGTGGCCTCGTCTCCAAATGATTTCTCTGGGCCAGTGCTCCACTGCCGTTGTGTTGTCACTACAGGGTGCTTCAACAAACAATGTGAACACTTCTGAGAATTTGCAACGACACCGCAAGAAATGTGTCGCCTCCGGGCTCTGGAGACCACCTGGAGAAGGTTCCAGGCCACGCGTTGACAACGATGACGAACAAGTGGAGACTCTTACTTTTTGAAGCTGTTAACATTACATTTGTTATCATGTTACGCAGTGTATAATCTGTTATTTTTCCATTAAAAAACGATAGTCCCTTAAGTGTTAACATTTTTTAAGCACCCTGTATTATTCTATTCGGAATCGTCATCGACGTGGCATTGAGCGGGGGGGGGGGGGGAACGTTTAAAACACAAACACAACACACACGTGAGATGCTGACCACCATTGCGCTGTCGTTAAAATTAGTCCATCTTTAAACATTACTCGGAGACACGTTATCCGAGTCGTGCTCACGTAACCCAGGTCATTCTCGCAACAACAACACACCGATATGAAACAGAGAAATGCACCGCAATCGCCTCCCTCTACATTCATCAATGATATCATCGCATGCACGCGCGAACGAGGTGTTGTCAGCGAGCGCCTATCAAGGGCAGCATAGCAAACACAGGTGTGCAGTGAAATACATATACAGTATACTATATATGCTCGTCAGTTGTATAGTATTTGTGTATATATGTACGTGTGTATGTATTGAGCTAGACCCCGCACAAAAGGTGCGGAGACCCGAATATGCACGTCAGCCGTGGCACACAATCAGCCAGTACCTATTACGACTGTACGTGAAGTCGCGTGTGACACACGCGCGCACACTGGTTCATCCAGACAAGCGTATGTGTGTGCGTGTATATTGTACCCAAGAGATTTTAGTGAGCACCCATTAAAATGCCGCAGCAACCCCTATGGCGTCTTGTGACAATTACAGTGGCCGTGTAAAAAGGAGAACTCGCAAAGTCTCAAGATGTTTATTACGCAAGGTCCTCCGTTGACACATTTGGCCAATTCCATAATTTATTTTTAGCGTTTTGGGCTTTGTGCGCGAGGAAAACATGAAAACCCGGGGAAACACTCATACATACGAGGGGGGGGTAACACACACCTTGCAACCCAGCCTGTCCACACGATGCACGTCTTATTCATAGGCCTGCCCATCCAATGTGTTACTGACAACCGCTGAGTGAATTTGCACATTCGTCGATTGCCAGATATGAATGGACTAAAAACCGAATAGGCAACTCGACAGAGCAGCCCTTGTCCGGAGCTAAGCCGGCTCGAGCCTGGTGTCCGGCACTTGCAAGTTGGGTGGCCACAGGCGCACGCCAGGTGATGTAGGCGCGCGGCCGTCATGCGGCCAGAAGATGGCAGTGCCGTGTGGTCACCCCCGCGGCACGCTCGCTGGCTTCCCTCGCACTTCTCTGGGTTCTTGAGACCAAGGGGCCGTCCAAAAATGACGTCACGCAATTTTTGGACGATTTTTGACCCCCCCCCCCTCAAATATGACGTCCCGAAGCTCTGCCCCCCCCCCCCAAAAAAAATGCTTCAAATCGCTTTAAACTATTGTCATAGTGCGTATTTAATGTGGCGCTGCACTCTGATGTTATAGGAGAAAACATTTATTAAAAAAGTCTATTTAATTAAGTGGAACGTGTTGTCTAGACTTATTTAAAGTTGCGCATTTTGATGTGACGTCACATTTCTCAACCCCCCCCCCCCCCCCCCTCGTCACACATCGTCACAAATGTCTGACCCCCCCCACCCTCGGGCGTGACGTCATTTATGGACGGCCCCCAAGCGCTCTCTTGGGTAAATAATTGGCGTGTAATTGGCAGTTATATATGGGAGTGAATATAGAAGAATGCGCTATTAATTACCGTACCTGTAATTAAATATCCCCACAATTTTGAACAACTGCTATATGTGCGTGTGAGCGCATCCACACAACCATGAGACAATGCAATTCATTATAATGCTGC